GAATAGGTATAGCGGCGTCCTAATTAGGAAGTAACTATTTTAATTAGTATTCCACTAGTTTTAATTAGTATTCCACTATTTATCTTTTATATATAGTATCTAGATATAATTTTAGATAAGATACTATATTAGGGAGAGTTATATTGAGAGCTAGGGTTTCGCCAAGGCTAGGTCTTAGGCTATATATATATATAGGATAGGTTCTGGCGATATACTTAGGGGGGAAAACGGGGTGGGGCGGTCGGGTTAGGGCTTCCCCTAGGGGACGAAACGTAAGGGAGAAATCTAAGAGATCGAATCCCTTTTTTCCCCCTAGCGATAGGAACCGTCCGCGACCTTCTTCTCCTAGAGGACGAAAGTCTCGTCCCCTTAAAGTACCTCGCCGCCGAGTTCCTTCCCCCGGGGGACGGATTTCTCTCCCCTTTATCCTTCTTCGCCGCGACGTACCCTATTTATCTAGATCGTCCCGCGGGGGAAGATATTGACGGATTATCTAAGCCTCGAGAGACCTTCCTATTTTATATACTCCTATTTCCGGTAAGGACGTAGTTATCCCTTAAGGGACGGGAATACGTCCTTAAGTCTATCTACCTCTTATTCCCGCGCTCTTAAAGCTTTTCATCTCTTACTACGCTCTATCTATACTACCTCCCTATCTCGCCTTACCTAGAGAGTATATTATCTTCCTCTCGCCGTCGGACGTTATCTATTATAATAACCCGGCGTATCAAGCGGTATACGGCCCCGACGGGCGATTTATCTACGCCGAAACGGCCTTATCGCGAGGAAGCCTTACGATCCCCGCCGTTAGAGGAGGTAGACTCTCCGACATATCTTCTATAGAATCACCTATCGATCCGGGAATAGGTCGAACCCTACTGTTTCATAACTATACGCTTTCCTATCGATACTCTAACACCGAGCTAAGGACGAGGTACGAACCGTCCCGTCGACGTTATCTAGGTACAATAACTACGTAAGGTATTTCGAGGAGAACTAGACCGGACTAATCCGAGCTACGCCCTTCGCGTCGCGTATTCCCGAGAGTACGTCGAGCGTATGATCGCGGAGCTAGAGCGTTAAGGTTAGACTTCCACGGATTAGAAGGAGAGGATCTTCGATATCTAGATATCTTTTATAGACTAGAAGCGCGTAAACGATCGACCTATTAAATTAATAGCCGGGAATTACCGGGTAGAAGCTCTAAAAGAATATTTAAAGGAGAAGAAGAGGGATAGCCCGAGCGAACGCTAGTAGCTTTATAATATTTACGACTAAGGTTAGTTAGTAGGTCGGCCCCGGTACTAAATCTATTAGCCTATTTCGAGAGGTCTAAAGGTTAACCCTAGTCTAGACACTCTCCCCTTGGAAATTTCGATCTAACTTCGAGCTAATCGCGGAGAGCTCGGCTTACCCGATAGCTATACGTAGGTATAGAACGAATTATATCTATCCAAAATGTGGTTCATTATCCTACCTAGACTAATGATTGCTCCCCATATAAAATATATAGAACCCCTAACCCTAGTCTTAGCGGGTTAATTTCAGGATAATAATTGACTTCTCTTTAGACTAATAATTAGTTCCCGGGCGATTACGGTTTTGCATTTGGAGTATATCATAATAGAGGCCCGTAGTTTATAACTTACGCGATTTACACTACGATTACACTTCGTAAACGGGTAGAATCGTAGATAGAAAATCGACCATTTTATATAGGAGGAATATTAAAATTTCCACGGGAAAGTTAAGAAAAGGGGCTCTTAGGGTTGAAGAATAGCTAGAGTTAACCCTAAGGATAGCTAGGGTCGAGTCCGAACCGGGTAAGGTAAGCGAAATTAGTAGAGTTAGGAGTTACGGGTAAATCTAGTAGAATAGATAGGATAAATATAATATAGATAATAGATACGAGGACTTTAAGTTAAAGTATAATAGTTTACTAGTTACTATTAAATTCGCGTTTATCGGTATTATTAGTTATTCGATAACGATAACGGTATTAGTTAAGGACGAACCTATCTAGGTCGACGAAGTATTTCAGTACTTGTACCGTATCCAACTCCCTATTTACCGTTAATATCGACATACCGTATAGCTAGAGTAGATTACTAGTTATTTATAGCGACGATAGTATCGATTAAGCCCGTTAGATATCCGGTATATCTAGAATCAAGTTTTCTAGTGGCCCGATTTACTATAGAATCGTGACGTCGTGTATATAATCTACTAGAGGATTTAAGACCCCGTTCTCTAGTTAGATATCTATACGGACGGGTTATTATACGGTAGTCCGACCGAGTAATATCGATATATATATCGCGGCGAGGCGACTATAAAGGTTCATTAGGCACGACGTCATCCCGGTTAGCGAGGCTATACCGGTACGCCGTGTACCGGTCGAGGAGGCTATCCCCATGCCCGGTCGTGGAAATCGGTATATTGTTAGCGGGTATTTCCCCGTGGTCGAGGGTCCTAGTATTTTAAGGTCTACGCTCCGGAGCGGGCTAAAGAAGCCGCTCCGAAGCTATTACTACCACTACCTAGTAAGGTCGAATAAGTACGATAGATATTGCAGTAAAGGATAGAAAAGATCTAGGATCGTGAACGACGTACTATCGACGAAGGAGCGTATAACGAGCCTAGCCTATAGTTAGAACGAACCGGGTAGGCCTAGTATTTACGAAAATTGGACCGTGATGAGTTATTATAGAGTATCGCTACGCTAGAGATGGATCTAGAACCCGTTAATTAAGTAATATAGGAAGCGATAGATAAGATGATGCGACAATATTAAGTTATCCTTAGGGCGTATACCGGAGTATTTATACGTAAGGAGGTAATACGGATCGAAGAAGATTAAAGTCGATTCGTGCTATTGAAAGGATACCAAAATCCGGAAGAGATTTAGGATAAAGGTCGATATTAGCAGTAGATTATTATGTTTTTCGTTTATACGTAGCGGTTACATTTATGGAAGAGTCCTAAATATATATTAAAGTATTACTAGTAGTAAGTGTTTCAGCAATTGATATAGGAGACCTAGTAGGATATCGAGAGGAGTAAGTTATAGTATAAGGAGGGT